CTGTTTGAGGAACCTCCAAACCATTTTCCATAGGGGTTGCACCATTTTGCATTCCCACTAATTTCTTTACTGTAGAAAAACATAAGTAACATAAGAATTACCACTTTAAGAACTTTAAAATATACAATTGCATGGATTTAATTACATTCAAAATGCTGTGTAACCACTACCTCCATCTGTTTCCAAGACTTTTTCAATATTCTAAGCATAATTCTACCAACAACCTTAAGGTCCATGAAAAACAAATTCTTCAAGCCTCCACATGAGAACATAGCCTGTTCATCTCCTTGATTACAGACTGTGAGTACCTAAGGCGAGGACCCAGCTAAACCGTGCCCAGTCTCCTGACTCATAGAAATTGTGATAATAAATATGTGTTGTTTTAAGTCACTGGATTCGTGTTAATTTGTTGTGGAACAATAGAAAACCAATGCAATGATAAAATTTCTTGTGGAGTGAGACGGAGTTACTAACTTGGAAACTAATGTGAATCTGAGCTGACAGAAATGTTACAAAGGACTATTTTGCCAGAGTTTGCCTGTTCCCTGTGAGGAGGATGCAGATGCCCAAGTGAAATCAAGGTAGGGATGGAGGAAGGAAGTATGAACTGAACTTTTCGTCATTCTGGCTGTGTGCACTCAGGCTTCTGTAGTCTTTTCTTCCTGTAATGTAGAGCAATTAGAAAGAGAAGAAGAGAAAAGACCATGCCCACAATATATGGAAAGTATCATAGAAAAAAGACATGAGCATTGGATGAGGAAAAACAGATGAGTAAATAAATCCATAACCGAGAACTAAACTTTTGGAAGGACACAGAGATAGAGATATCTGAGGCAAAGCAGTAAAGATAACTAAATGACAAGTCTTCAGCATCTAAACAATTGCAGAAGAATTTTTTTGTGAGCTCAAGCAAACAGGGGTGGTGAAAAATAAAAACTCGGGTGAGAATGTAAGTCTGTATCTGAAAAATATATAGTTAACAATCTTGACGGTTTGAAACTCTTTTTATTTGAAATGACTGAGGAACGTTTCCTTTGAGTTAAAAACTGTTCTCTGGGCAAAAACTTACTGAATCTAGAAAATGTATTGAGAAATAGACAGTACCCATGAGCTCTTGCTGTTAATAAAATTATTAAATTATAACGTGGATAATATGGGACACACATACACATATGCCAGTTAAAGAATTATTTTCTTTCATAGTTTATCCTAGGTGTACAAACAAGCTTAAAGACACTTGCTTGGGTTCGCAGGTGAGGGTTGCATCTGAGGGAGCTGAGCCACAGTGAGCAGCCTCTGGGAGGGTTTTGCTTAGACCTAGAGCATTGCAGGAGGAAGCTCATTACTCTGCTGACAGTAATAGTTTGCAGCATCATTGGCTTCCGGAAGGTGAATTGTGAGGGTGAAGTCAGTCACAGACCCACTGCCACTGAACCTGGCTGGGACCTCAGAGAATCTATTCACCTCTGCATAGATCAGGAGTTTAGGGGGTTGTACTGGTGTCCGTTGATGCCAGTTAATAAAGTTAGATCTTCCTCAATGGACACTCTGGCTTGCCGTGCAGGAGATGGTGGCCCTCTCCTCTGGGGTCACAGGTAAGGAGAATGGAGATTGGGTCAGCACAATGTCCCCAGTGGAGCCTGGCATTACAAACATACACAATAAACTGTACCAGATATACTGAGACCATCCCAATGTAGGCCCAGTGCATTGTTGACACTTGTCACCACATTCACAGGCAACACTCCGAATAACCAGAACATAAAAGATAACTGGGTTATTTAAAACCTACAACAAACGCCTTAATTCAAGTGACCAAGAACCCACAGACAGAGGAAGCAATGATGGCCACAATGGGTTCGAAAAATGTCTCTCTCCAGCTCCTCACCTGTAATCCAGAGCAGCAGGATCCACAGCAGGGGAGCCCCTGACCCAATCTCTGAACTGAGCTGAAGGCTGCTCCTCAGGGGCCCTGACAGCCTGCCTTTAAGGATGTATTGAGGAGTCCGGACTATTGTCTGTCAACTTGAAAATAAACTCAGAAAAGCTTGGGTTGGTGCTCAAAGAGGACACCTGCTTTTATTTCACCCAGTGAGGTTAGGAGTTAGTAAAATTTCCTAGGGCAGCTCAAGTATACCCCAAGGGATTCTATGACCTGTTCCACTGATCTTCACCTCCCAGTCTGTCTGAGCTGCTTTGCTAGGGGATCTACGGGGGTTGCCCTGCCATAAGTATGTGAGCTGTTTCAGGAGTTCTTTTGATCCCTTACCTTAAAATTTTGTATTGTCTCAAATATTAATGCATTTATGATTTAATCATTGTCAGAAAGAGCAAGCAGTAGCTTTGCAAAACAGTGAAACAGGGTAGCCTTGTTCATACAGGGAGGGGAATTTAACCCATTGAGTAGATGGCCTTTAAGTCAAGTCTATAAATGTCATCGAGAGCTGAAAAGAATGAGAGTGGTGAACATGAAGCCTTGATGAAGGCTGGAAACCTAAATTAATCAGTGAACTTGCCTCAGTGTGGATAAGGCAAGGTCTCTCCATCTGCTCAGTCCTGCAACCAATGCTGTGTCCACCAGAGGCCCTCGCAGGAAAAGTCATTCCACTGGGTTCCATTCAGAGTAAAGAACGACCAGTCCCCAACTCCCAGTCAATTCATTTTTCTTGTCACATAAGGCTAGAGCTGAGGCACCCCATGTTCTAATACAAGATATGGTATCTTAAAGACATTAGCAATGGTTATATAACTATATATATTTCAGGCTATAAAGTAAATCGGTTTATTTTAGACTATAAAGTAGATTGAATGATTTTCATTTAAAAATATATCTTGGAGGTCAAAGGGTATAAGGAATCAACTGAAAACAACCTAGTAAAGTATTCTACTTAGTGTACTCATGAACAGATACTTATATCAGCCTTTCTAGAACTTTAAAAAATATTATAGCCTAGAAAGTTGACCTTTTTGTTATATGTAAAAGAGTAAATAATGGATTTATTGCCATATGTTTTTCTCTTGTATATTTTTAATTCTACATGATATTGTTT